GATGGAAAAAGGAATGGCTTCCATTACTGTTAACCATAGCATCTGACTGCACCGCTTGGAAGCGTCTTACCTTTGTAGCCATTGAAGCCAGCCTAACAGTGATGGTGCGAGCTATTAGAAGAAGAAAAAGAAAAAGGTGACATTTAATACTGTAGCGGCTAGGTGGTTAATCCTAATATAGAATTAACCAGTGCGCAACAGTTTTATTACACTTTTTGTTCATTATTATTATTTCATCTTTCACCTATAAATAACCAAGAAGAAAGCCACTTGTCTCCTTGTTCTTCAAAAACATGGTACATATAAATTACCCGGTGACATGCGAAATTTCAAAAGATTTCTGCCGCAAAAACCAGTGCACCGTAATTACAGTAACTATGCGTATCAATTTATGTATACCAAGAAACAAAGAAAGTTGAACTACAGGACTATTTAATGACCAACTGATTTGCTATTGTTATCAACGAAAATGCTGTCAAAATAATATCATTTTTATGCTGGGCTATAGTAACTTCATTATAACCTCGCTATCTTTATAAATTTATTTTTAGGAAATGATAAAATTTTTTCTGATAGACAAAACTTTTCTTCGAGGATAATGCATTGGCAATAAATTTCAACGCGATCAGCCTTACCTTAATTTTCTACCTCCGATATTTTTAGCTCAAAAAATAGAATTTTTAAGGTTGGCTTAGTTACGGCTTTTAGGATTCACTACGAGTTTTTTTACGTACATTCTGAATCGTTTTATGAATAAGTTTTAATTTAATATTTTTTAATATATAAGCAAATATTGTAAAATAAAAATATTACAATAAATGCCATCAATCCCATATATTTTTTATAATTTTTTGAAAATTCTCATTTTCTTTTATATTTTTAATCGTTTGAATTTTTCCATCATAATTATTTCATTGTATTTTTCAATTTTTGCAGAATCTTTTTCATTTTCAAATTTCATTGTATTTCATTGTATTTTTCAATTTTTCGAAATTTCTGTTCATTTTTCGCTATTTTTTTCAATTTTTTGAATTCTTTTTAATATATTTTATTATATTATTTATTTTATTCTAAATTATATTTTATTATATTAAAATATATTCTTTCAATTTTTCGAAAACTCCCTTCATTTTCTACTATATTCCTTTAATATTTTCTACTTTGCCAGTATTATAATTATTGTTATTTATATTCTTTAATTTTTGCAGTATTTTCTATTTTTTTATTGCATTATTTTCTTTTCAAAAATTTCTTCATTTTCCATTATATTCTTAAAATTTTTGAATTCTTTTCAGTTTTATTTTATTCAATATTTTGCTTTACGTGTCATTTTCAATACCTTCATTTTTTAATTTTTTTAACATTTTCTTCATTTTCTATTATATTTTTTTTAAGTTTCGGAAGTTCTCTTCATTTTCCACTATATTCCACTATAATCATTTGAACTTGTCCATCGTGATTATTTTATTGTTTTTTTTTTCAATTCTTGCAATTTTTCATTTGCTTTTTCCGAATTTTTTTCAATTTCGCTGAGAAAATGGCACGTTCATGAATGTTAAAGCAGTTTAAAAAAATTTTCCTAATGAACAACTTTTATAAAGCATAATTAAATGGCAAAATGTTTATCATTTCTCGTCATTTCCAGCACTTCTTGCTGTTGGATTTTTTTTCCAGGAAATATCAGCAGCAAACGAACATATGGGTCGTTAGCCTCGCTCGAATTTATAAGTGGTTAGTTCATTTCTGCGCTGTAAGCGATAGTATCCATGTTCGGCTTGAAATGAGGCGATTACATTCATTCGAAATCTCTGCCCACTTAAGTCATTTATCAATGTTATAGGAAATGTAACAAACCAGTCTTAGCACTTATGTATGTTTTATAGAATTAAACTTACGATTGTATACTGGAAAATCAAAATATTTTGCATTTTTCGTGACTGAATTATTATAATAAAAGAATTTGTATAATTTCTATTTTATTTGCACCACATTTTATGAAACATTTTAAAAAAAAAGAAATATATTTTATTGACAAAATAGTAAAATAAATGGCTCAATGGGTTGTTGTTCTCATTTCTCAAATCTCAATATTACAATTCGATTCACGTAAGTAAAAAATAATTCCTTGGTGTGCTGGCAACTCACTTTTCATCACCAAACGACTGCTTGGAAAATTTTGCCTCATCCAATAAGCCAATGAAAAGCCAATAGGAGACCTAAGCAAAAAAGATGTCCTTGATGAAAAAAAAAAAACAAAGAATAGACAAATCTTATAAACAATAAAATAAAATTGGATAGATAATAAGAATGGATGCTCATTGAGGTTAATGTGCAAATAATATATGATTTATCGGTTTTATTGGTGGCCATTTTGACGGTCGACGAATGGTCGATCATTAATTGAATGGGCGATTTTCATTTGGTTATAATTATTCGGAGATTTCACATCACCTATACACCTACCTATACACCTCTTCTAATATTGTCCACTCGTTCATTCTTACATCAATCAGTCGTTCTTCCGACGTTCATCCTCACTCTTCCAAATTCGATAAATAGCGTTTTGATGCAATAACCTCTCTAATCAGAAATCTATTACATCATCTTCAGCTATTAAATGGTATTATTATGGTTGTTTTTACATTTATTCCACAAATTCATGGAACATTACCATTTCGCTGGCAACGCCGCCTCTAATTTTTTATAATAAATTACTCTATTCAAATGATTTCTACATGCCAATCTTCGATGTTTCGCTTATTTGTTTATTTATTATTATTTCTTCAATTAACATTAACTCAAAATCCAATATTTGGTCAACCGATAGTTGGTTTTGACTTTGGTACTTGTAAAATTCCACCAGTTAATTGTAATTTACAATGTAGGAGCGGTTTTCAAAAAGGAATCGACGGAATGTGCATTTGCATGTGCCAGCGGAATGTTTGCCAGGTTTAGCTAAAATTGATTTTTAATTGGTTAAGAAAATTATCATTTCTTATTATTTACTCTCTTACCTGATTTTATTCTTTTTGGAATCCAATGCAAACTTTTTTTCTTCCATTTACTTCTCGTATTCGCATTTATATAGAAAATTTATCCGGCAAAAAAAGGAAATAATAAACCGTTTCATCGATTCGATGCTAATAGATTAGATTTAATAAATGAAAGTAGTAAATTTTGATGCGAAAGCCTTGAAACTTCAGATCAAATCAATTAAATCAATTACTATCCAAATTTTAGTGATCTAGTTGACCATTACTGGAAATGCTTTTATTAATATTTAGGCTATAATATGCGGCCAAAATGAAATTTGTCAAGAAAATCCAAATGGGTTTGCAGAATGTAAATCTCAAATATGTAAGTCTCAAATTTGTCATTTTTACAAAATTGTTGCGAAAATTGTGATCTTTTTTTTCGACATAATATTAATAATTTGCGTGAAATTTTTCCAAATGGAAATCTAGCAAATTTAATTTATTCAAAATATAATAGATTTAAATATTATATTATTAGAGCAATATTTATTATAAAGAAGCGATTATGTCAAGAAGATTTCCGGTAAATTTCCGGTAAAACTCAATTCTTTTAATTCCAACTCCTTAATAGAGATTTGCGAAATATATTAGGAATTTAGCCAGTTTATCTGAATTTCTGAACCATAAGATATAATAATGTAATAATATGAACGAGTATCTTAAAAAATTATCTATCCAAGGTGAACAATAGTTTCAGCAGTCGAATAAACAAGAAACAATATTGCTAGGTTGCTTGAACAGCACAAGCTAATTAGATTGGATGTTTTAAGACTAAGAAATCTTTTTCTTCTCTATAAATATTTTAGCTCTATTTTTCTTCTACTCACCCACCATAAACAAATTAAGCATTATTCTAAGAAAAATTTTAGGCTATTGAAACTAAAGTAAAAAAGAAATAATTAGTTAGCACTTGTCATTTCTGGCTCGGTTTGAAGATAGGATGAGAATTGCTAGAGAATCACTTGGATAACGAGGGACTTGTGAATTCTGATTATCATCTTAATTTTTTAATGGCAAGTTTATTTTTTTTACTTGTTAGAAACTGTGAAAAATGGTGATAAGCATTCAGTTATCTCGTTCCTCCAAAGATAATTTTCACCAACAAACGGAACCAATAAAAAATTTTATGAAAGTCTTCAGTTTCAGTTGATCTAATAGTTCCACAGAATAGTCTTCAAATATAAGAAATATAAATTTAAATATATTATTCGCCATTTATCTGCTTTCACTTTCACTATGAAATGATTATCAAACTGAAACTCCTACAGAGAATGAATTTACTCGAATTTCTGAGAAAGCTCCGAAAAAATCTTAAATTCTCCAATGTTTACTTTTTCTTCATCTGCGATTTCCACCAAAAATTTTAGCTTTTCATTGCACGTTGGCATGAAAGAGAAATTTTCAAATATGTCTTAGAAAAAGTGTTTAGAATATTTTATTTGTAAACGTAAATAAAGTATTCTTTGGTAAATGCATAAAGTTATATCAAAATTATCACTTCAGAACTTCATCTGCTAATAATTATGTGCTAATAATTATATAATATTAATATAGTAATATAATATATATATAATACAAAATATAATATAATATAATATATAATATATAATATAATATATAATATAATATATAATATATATAATATAATAATATATACAAATTATAATATATATTATATTATTAATATATATATAATATATAATATATATTATATTATATATTATAATATATAAATATATAATATATATTTTTATCACAGACCACTGAAAATTTAATTTGATTTAATTTATAAATCTAAATTTAATTTTTCATGATTTCTTATATTTTGATCAACGATAGGCTAGTACCATAACTCGCATTTCGACCATATTTTATATTTTCATATTTTTTTATTTCAAAATATCTTGATCGGTTGTTTTTAAATTTTTCTGTTTTATGGATAAAAAGTATTCAAATTTACGATAATTGGCTTTTTTCTTAGCATCTCAAGTATCGCCAGTGCATGTGAGATTATTAAAACAAGGAAGTTGCCCTCGAATCTCTGGCGGAACGTGCCTTCGTAAGTGTAGCTCAGATGCTGACTGTGTTGATGTTCTAAAATGTTGCAGTAATGGATGTGGCCTGGAATGCGTTCCACCTACGAACATTCCATCTCCACTTTTCATCGGTCCTGTTCAATCACAGCGTATGTTATCAAAAAATAGTTTAAGTTATTGGTAGATAAGAAATATTGTTATAAATGATTAATAATTATCTATGTCAAATCAATTAAGAAATATATTTAGATACTTTGACGAGGATCGGACATTGTCCATCATATGAGATTTCCGATAAATGTAATAATAAAATTTGTACAAATGACAACGATTGTGAAAAGTTCGAAAAGTGCTGCGAGTCAAATTGCGGTCAAACATGTCGCCAACCAGACCAAACAACAAGTAATTTTATACACATGATTTGATTCAATTGGAAAAGCTTCTCTATTAATAAATCATGAATGATCGAACGTAAGGGAACAAATATGCTTTGTATAATGACCCCGTATACGTGTAGATACGTGTAAATACGTGTAATACTTAGGTTAAATATGAAATCTGATTTTACTACTGGAGACTTCTACATAAAGCATTTATCTCTCCTAATAAATCATCTCTCATAAAATATTGAATATTAGTAATTGCCAGTCGATCTAGCCACAAGAATAATGCATACTTTTAAAAAGTGATAGAAGAGAAATGACGTCTGAATGATGAAAAAACATCTAAATATTGCTGGCAACACTTAAACGTTGTTTGTACAGTATTTTTTTCAGCGAAATTTAAATAAATCATTTCTGTACTAACATCGGCGAGCCATAATTTTTAAGCCTTAAGCCTAGAATGTTGGATCTCACACAAGTTTAGATTTTTCTATCTTAGCTCTATTTTGCTTGTCATGTAAGCATCATTCTATATTGCAGATTGTATTCATCTTTATTTTGCAATTAAAAGATTACTGGTCAATAATTTGGAATTTTATTTACCTGAATGTGATACTGATGGCAATTTCAAAAAAATCCAATGCGACCGTGATTTTTGTTGGTGTGTTGAACAAAATATAGGAAATGAAATATTGGGGACAAAAAAACTTCGCGGATTCGGTCCTCCTGATTGCAGCGGTGAATCGTTCTACTTTATTGAAAAGACTCTGAGATGGCATATTCTTTAAATTGTTCGAGGATAGTATCACTAATTACCCCGTTCTTCTCGCGCTATATTCTCAAATAATATATCTAATATAACACCACAAATACATATAAAAATTTGTGATGAACGTTTACAAACTAAAGTGATTATCGAAGCTTTTCGACTCCTTTATTTTCTCCCTTCGTCAAAAATAAGTTTATTATTAAAAATGTGAAATTCGAATGGCGCACCCACTTGCATCTTTCAATCCGAACCTCGAAATTTAAGAATTAACGCACTTAAGGAAATAAAAACGAGAATGACCAAATTTTTAAGTGTATCATTTCTCCCATCTTATCACTCGATTGATAAACTTTGAATTAACTCCAAGTATATCGAATATAAATTTATCTCGATATTTATAAGTATAAATTGCAAAAAAGATTTTTTTCATTTTTTTCATTGATTTGTTAGAATTTGATAGATTTTCAGGAATAACGCACTGTCCTGTTATCCAGTGTAATAATTTTTGTCCATTTGGTGTGATGACGGATTATAATGGTTGTCCACTTACAAAATGTGAATGCAAAAATCTCTGCGCTGGTATAAGGTGTCGCAATAATTTTGATATATGTCAACTAATTGAATCAAACTGCATAAATCCACCATGTATTCCTATTCCTAGCTGTTAGTTTATTTTTATTTATTCGAAATTTGATATAAATTATAAATTTTATTTATATCTTCCGTATTGCATTTGCATTTTATCTTCAAATCTGATATATTTTGCATTTTCTGCCTCCTAACTTTGCTTCGCAGTATGTGTAGCATGTCTAAGAAACCTATTAAAGCTATTAAATAGGAACCTGTTGAATTTCATTTAAAAAAAAAAATTCGACTAGTGCTAGGTACCCGAAATTCTACCTGCCAGTAAACACAATTTATCAGAGAGATAATCAGTCGAAGCGAAATAAATTTTAAGGATGAGACTTATTTCAGGCCTATTAAATCCTTGTCCTAATGGTATGCCATCCACTCTTGCAAACGGCGCGACAGCTTTATGTTTGAATTCACAGCAATGCTCCTCAAATTATTGGTGCCATCAAGTTGGTTTTTGCACTATGGGACTTTTAAAAATTTCTTTTTTCCCAATAACCATTGTACAAAACTTAATTATTTAAAAAACGGCAATTTTCCATAGAGGATTTCAAATACTTGTTTAAATGATTTTTTTTATTCTCAATAAAATACATTCCGCCGATTTTAATAGAAAAATTTTAAATAATTTTTTTTTCTTACTGATTAATGCTGATAATTTTACTAAATTTTTAAAAATAATTATATAATTGAAATAGGAGATTAGATTCTTTAGCGACAATTATGAACGTCTTTAAAACGAGTTCTCTAAATTTTATAATCTTTTGAAAATTTCTAGTTTTTGTTGATTGATTGAATGAAAAATGATTGATAATATTGTTATAACAATAGGATTTTTACTGAAAAATAAGTTAAAAAAGAAGTAGTAATACTCGTTTGAGAAGAAAAAAAGAAGCGAAAATCGCTTAATTCTTTAGGAAATAAATTGAAAAAAAGGGTTAAAGTGTCTTAAAAAAGGTAAAAGAGATTGCGCATTAAAAGCTAACTCATCGCCATTTCCATTAAAACTATTTATGCATTAGAGCGGAGAGAGAGTAAGTAGGTTTTCATTTGTCGATGGCCAAACGAGGAATAATTTTGGCGATATTTTTGATTTCTGAAAGGAGTACATACATAGCAAATGTTTTGATAATTTATTGGAATAATTTCGAAAAGACTTACAGAATTTTAACATCATAGAATCTAAAAATAAGCGTATAGAACAATGGTACGTCAAGGGAAATCTTCATTATGTAAGAAATTCGTCAGTATTCTCAGGTTTTTCTGAGGAAAATCTGGAAAAATCTAAATTATTGGCATTGCTTTGATTCTAAAGAATATCTATCGTTTTCGATATTTCATGTTTGTTCAAAAGAATTGATACTGATTGTATCAATTGGTATTTAACTATTTTTTTAATGGGACGATTTTAATAAGCATTTTAATAAGTAATAAAAATTGAATGAGCGGATTTAATATAATCTAAATAAGCATATCAGTTGAAAAAGCATTTTCAGATTGGATATAATGGCTTTGGATTTTGCTGTCCATTACCAAAAGCCAGATTGAACAACGGCAAATGCAAGAAGCAATTAATAACAGCGTTGCAAAACTGTGAATCAACTTGCAAAATTGATGAAGATTGTGCATCAAAAAATAAATGTTGCTTTGATGGTTGTGGCTTGAAATGTACGGCGGTTCATTATCAGCAAAACGACTCAGTAGCTGATAAAAGTGCAACTGCTATATCAGTTGAAAATAATTCGAAAAGTAAAAGTCGTATTAGCATTCTTTTAGCAGCTGCTCACAATGCTATTGGTTGCATTGGTTCCACTGGCTATAAGACTAAGATGCTACCAAGCCTCTCTGTCCTATCTATCTGAACGCAACACAGGCCAAAATTGTTTTTTCTCAAACCAAATATATGCATATATCGCTAGGCTCTCTATGAGTTTGAAATCGTTCTTGGCTATATCAATCCAGGTTTTGCTAGGTCCTTTCACATTTAATCTCATTCATCAATTAATAGTCAGTGTTAGCGAGTTTTGCAACAATTCCAATAATGAGCGACGGAAAATACAGCATAACAAGCTGAGGTGGAAATCTGTGACGATGCAGATGGGCGAAAGTGTTATGTGAAAATCTAGAGAATGCAGCTGTAGCTAAGAATGCTAAAGGTAGATGGAGCATTAAATCGAGCATCAATCAGTCTTACAGCACATAATACATGACTAGATGAAACGATGGTTTTTGTAGTGGGATTGTAATTTCGAGGTGACGAGGAGAGCGAAAGAAAGCAGTCTATTGCTGAAGCTGAAATTTCGTTCTCTTTCTCCATTCATTATATATTCTGTTAAGTATTTGTAATGGTCTATCAAAATACTAATGCAAAAAGCATTGTCTGAGGCTGAGGCGCACTTTACTTTAGTAATGCTTAAAATAGCCCATTCCTTTTCTTCTCTCCTGAAATCCGACTGGGCGAACGGCAAACTCCCTTTGCTCTCTTTGTTCTTTAGACGAAAAGATTCTTTCATTGCCAGTAGAGTTGTTCAGTTCTGAAATTAGAGGAAGATTGCCAATATTTTTATCGTTTTATTCTTCTCATGAACTCTTATGAAAAGCGTAGTTTATATTTGAAAAATGGGAGATTTTTCAGAAATATTCACTTCTATGAATTTATTGGGTTCTGATGTGCAATCAAAAAGGATCGAGAAGACTGGCATTTGCCCGAAAATTGCCGAAGGGCCAGAAAACTGTTTGCAAGGAGCAAATGGAAATTGTTCGTCAGATTTTGATTGTGAAGGAATTCAAAAATGTTGCCTTGTGACTTGCGAATTAAAATGCATTCAACCAATAAAGGTTCCAGGCAAGTATAATAAAAAAATTTATTTTTATACAAATTGAAGCAGATTTAATAAATTAATTATTTTACAAAATGATAAGGTGGAGGAATTCGATGATTTTTTGGCCAAAAAGAAGAATTTGCAAAAAAGGAAAATGAAAAGACGAAAATATTTTTTTCGTTTTTTATTATTATTTTAAATTCTTATCAATCATTTCTCAGTAGAAAACGACGTTTTTCCTCACTTTTCTTAGTGACCTTAGGCGAATACGCGAAAAATTGAGCGACTTATTTGTTATCACAAAAGTCGATAGCCTCAAATTTATTTTTATAATTTGTAATATTAAATTTTATTTATACAGTTTATATAATCTTATTTATTTATATTTATATAAATTTATTAAACTTTTTTGAAAACCATAAAATCAACAAATCTTTACATTTTTTTGTTGATTCTTAGCTTCATTATTTTTAATCATATCTCTCTTTTCGAAAGCCTCATTAAATCCAATGATATTTTATTTTAACTAAAAAAAATAGCTAAAGAAAAATAAAGACAAAAATTAATTTAAAATTAATTTTTATCAATTTCCTTGCATTATAAATTCTTTTTTTTCAGGTTGTTTATTATTAAAATATATTTTGGAAAAGAATAAACTGAACAAAAATGTAAGATGTAACAGTGGTGAGATGTCTTTTTGCAAATTTTATTTCGATATTTTTTCCTTTGAAAAATTTCAAAATTAATAACTGTATTTCTATGATAGATTTGAATTTAAATGGCCTAAATTTTGCATTTCTTTTTTTTTCTTTTAAGATATTTTATATTTTATACTAAAATATATATTGGGAAAGAAGAAGCTGGAAATTGAAAAAATTTAAGACATTTGAAATTTAACTGAAATTCTCGAGCCTCTGCAATATGATGAAGTGGGATTTAATAGAAGAAGAGGATATTTAGGTATTGAGAATGTGCAGCATTGCGAGAGTTTCTGAAAAATGAAGGATACTTTAATATTATTAATATATATTATATTATAATAACATTATTTATTAGTATTGAAACCAAGCCAGGGAGGAACGCCATGCACTGATATCTTTGCACCAATAAGAGATAATCTTTCCTATAGATCCACATGAAAATAAAAAGCGGAAAAAGAGGAATATTACTTAGTAACATTAGATTTATAATTTATATATAAGAATTTAGATCGCTGAAATGCTCTTATATGCTTATAATGCTTTTCAATTAGCCTATAACTAACCCAATTAAAATAGCTATCATAAATGGCTCAATTTATTTAGCTCATTTTTATACAATTTGTTTACGCAGTGTGTGATTTTTAGGCAGTTTATTTTGATAAAAAATAGCAAATTAATTAATAAACTATAATTTCAAGTTGAGTCTTACAAATAGGTTTCTATAATTTCGATCTTTTATTATAATCGAGTCTAAGAATTATATTTAAAATCTACGTTTACTTTAAAAATGGCCCTAAATTACTTTTTATTCGCGTTTCTTAAAATATTTTTTAAATATAATATTTTAAAATTTATTATATATTATATTATTATACCATATTGTGAGTCTAATTTTGTTATCGCAAATTTCGTAAGTCATTTAAGTAAGAATTTATAAAAAATATCTCTGAAATTGTTCAATAAGCTTAATGGAATTCATGCAGTTAGAGGACAGTCAGCATATGGTATTTTGTTCCATTATTGATATAACAATAAAAAATAATTTGAATAATATTATTCAGTAATTTGTTTAGAATAGGTTTTTTTTTAACTGTGGAAGACATAAGTTTTTCCTCGATAATAATTCTGTGATAAAGTGTGATAAAGTATGACTAAACTACAAATATTATTAAACTATCAACAATAAAGAATGAAAAAATATGTTAACTATTGGAAGTTTTGCATTTATCAGCGGAAAGAAAGATTTCACTATCTTTTTAAGCAATCGGCTGATTATTTTATCGGCTTAATTAAATTTACAATTTGATAATAATTTTCAGCCACCTGAACCGATACCCAAAGCTTTAAGAAATATAATGCTCCTATAACCATTTGCCTATGGGCAAAATGTTTTGAGAAATTTTTGAGTGAAGAAAGCAATTGGATTATCGTTAATGCAAAAATAAATAGCAAATTTTTTTCTCATATAAAAATGTTTGATTAATTTTAAGCAAAATGTTTTCATCTTAATTTTAGATGGGTCATTTGAAATGGTGCAATGTGATGAAAAATACTGTTGGTGCTCTTCACGCGATGGTCAAGAAATACACGGATCAAGGGTTTCGAATCAAATGGTGCCAGATTGTAATGGTAATCGATTTTGAATTCAAAAATTTAAAGCAAAATAAGAGAAATATATCTAAATTTTTGAGAAAATACGAAACAGTATAGCGTGTGGAGATAAGTTTAGAACACAACACTGATAATCTAGTTTTCAGTTCATCGCCTTTGCTCTGAAAAATTCTGCTTAAATTTGCGATGTCCTTACGGATACGAAAAAGACGATAATGGCTGTGATATTTGCGAATGTTCTAATCCTTGTAAAGTAAGTCCATTAATTTTTTGATTATTATTATTTAAATTTCTCCTTATCAGTATTACTTATTGTATTTTTAAATAAATTTTTTCGAAAAATCCTTTCTTTAAAAAATATCTTCCTGCAAATATCTTTCTTTAGAAAACTTAAATAAAAATTTGATCTTTAGCTATTATTATAAATATTTGTTTAGTCGATCGTATGCCCGCAAACGCAACATATATGCATTCCTCAGTCTATAGAATGTTCGGAAAAATACTGCCCTTCTGCACCAACATGTATCTACAATCCTTGCGAAAAAGGATTTCCAGCAATAGATTATACAGAAAATCGCCTCATTCCATGCAAAAACGAAGATGATTGCAAGGGGTTTAGCTCGTCGTTCTGCCGAATGTCTGAAGGCAAGGAAAGTTTCTGTTGCTTAAAACCAGGTTATTTTCTGCTTTTTTCAAAGTACCAATCATCTGCCAAGTATTTTCAAGAGTTTGTTATTATCTCAATTCAAAAGCACTGAATGTTAACGTAAAATGATGCCCAAATATAGAAAACCATTTTATTAATGCTTAGGAGGATTTCCAAATTATCATTTAAATTATACTTTTTAATGAAGTAGTAGTAATAAAAACCATATAAAAATTCATTCCCCTGCATAGCGAAATAATGAAAAATACCCAGAGACAGCAATTGTCCCGACAAATAGCAAGACTGGTGAATGCCCTCGAAATCGAACAAATTCGATTTGTTCACACACTATCAACGAGTGTAGCAGTGATTGGGAGTGCAATGCTTCTTTAAAATGCTGTTTAGATGACTGTGGCAAAAGATGTCTACCTGCACAAATTACAGGTACCATACATTATTTTAACCATCAAACTCCTGGTTCTATGAAACAATTATCGTAATTTGCCTATTTATTGAAGATTAATAGACGAAACCGTTCCTTGGTTAAGAAGAGTCTTAGGAAATGCGAAAAATTTCTATAGAAATTTCTTAAACTTCAAGATAATAAAATATGAAATCTTTCAAAAAACTTTTTAGGGCAAAAAGAGGCAGCGACAAAAATGGGACAATGTCCTGAAATATTACCAGAAATCGAGCATTTTGAAGGTAAATTATTAAAAATCATATCGCATCACCTCGTTCACCTCGTCATTGCACCTTTCAAACAAGTCATATTTTTTCACCAAATATATATATATATTAAAGTAAATATTTGATAAAGAGTTTATTATATTTGGAAACGATGTTTTAAAAAAAAATTGTTAAGGTTGTAGAAATGATTGCGAAACAGATTTTGATTGTATGGATGTTAATAAATGCTGTAAATATGGATGTAATCGATTTTGCTTGTCACCTAGAAATACTACGAGTTAGTCGCTCTTCCTTCGGCAACCATTGTAAATTAAAATTTATATAGCCCTTTCCTAAATTAATATAAAAAAGAAGAATTTCTGGAATAATTTTTGGTCTATTACTGAATATAA